TCATACTTAGCTAGGAATCATATAGCAGCTTTTATAAAGGCATGCTTGTTTTGATGTGGTTAGATGTTTGACATCTAAACAGGGAAGAATTTGTGTCCAAAGCATATTACTTGGAATCTGGTTTTGCTTCACTCCAAAGCCCCTTTAAGGTATCTATGATTCTTTCTGTTTGCAGTTTCATTTGTTTTCAACAAGTGCAAGTAGTTGCTTTGCAATCACTTGCTGCCTTTTATTCATATACAGAGTCTAAATTCATTCACAATCCAGCTTTTAAAATCTTATGGTGGCAGAGACTATGTGGAGATGATTAGTCCCTAGAAGACATATTATCATTGTTGTTCCCGTATACCGATTTATTTATTTATTTGTGGCCATAGTATGAAGTATAAACGAAAATAAGGAAGAGTTATCGAAATATTAGTTATTAACACACCATAACAAAGAAACAGTATGTTACAAGCTTATCTTAAGTCTTTTCATATCTTAATCACAATCTCATTTCCCACGACCTCAAAAACATCATTTCTAACATTCTGACAGTTTTTAAAACTTTCAAATCCTTATATTCATGTCATGTGGTTAGTAATTTAGGAATAATGATGTCCAGGCATTGGCAGGTCGGGAAGATGCTTATTTTGTCTCTCACCACAACTGGCTAGGTATTGCCGACGGATTCTCCCAGTGGTCTTTTGAAGGTACTGTACATTGTAGTTTTCTTCACTTAGGTTCTAGAATTTTTGCAAGTTAAGTCTCACTTGTAGTTCATTCTTATCAAATATATGTTTGGTTCATCCTTCAGGAATCAAGAAAGGAAAGTATGCTCAAGAACTCATGAGAAACTGTCAAAAGATTATTTCTGATGAAACTGACAAGATAACTGATCCAGTTCAAGTTCTCCATCGAAGTGTCAGTGCGACTAAGTCCCTCGGATCATCAACAGCCTTGATTGCTCATCTTGATAATAATGTGAGACTTGGTCCCTAACATGTATATACCACATCCGCAAGCCAGTCTATGATCATATGAATTTATTTTGTAGGAACTTCACATTGTCAATATTGGAGACTCGGGATTCATGGTTATCAGGAACAGAGCAGTATTGCAGAAATCGTCTCCAATGTTTCATCATTTTTATTTCCCCTTGCAAATTACACAAGGCGATGATGTTCGAAAACTTGCAGAGGTATTGTACTAATACCTTGAACAATGCCAATCAGTTTTCCTAAGTAGCAGACACTCTTCAATGGTTCATTTCAAAAAGAATATAGGCGGTCTTGTTTCACACAATCTGCAGGTTTACCATGTGAATCTAGAAGAGGGCGATGTTATCATCACAGCAACTGATGGACTCTTCGACAACTTATACGAGAAAGAAATTGTTACAATAGTTTGCAGGTTACTGGAACAGAGTTTGGAACCTCAGGTGCTCAATGTCCTCATTTCTTCCTTTTTTTGGTTGACTAAGAAGTTTCGGGTCTCGCCTTGTATGAGTCACTTTGCTCGTTATTAATTGGATTTGAGACGAAAAGCATATCTATTCTTACATCAATTTTTGTTGAGTTGTGTTGAGGATTATAAGTTTGATTAAATATTTGGTTGTTGTAGCAGAAAGCGGCAGAGTTGGTGGCTGCAAAGGCACAAGAGGTGGGACGATCTAAGACAGAGAGAACACCATTTGCAGACGCAGCTAAAGAAGAAGGATATGATGGATTCAAAGGTGGTAAACTTGATGCTGTTACTATCATTGTTTCACTTGTAAAAACTGTCTCTAGCTAAATTAAAATGCATCTTTTCTATGTGACTGTAAATAAAGAGCGAGAGACATATAAAAATACACAACTGTGGAAAGTAAAGTGTACTTCTTGAGCTTTCACTTGTCCTAAGCAAGTTTTTTTTTTAATCTCATAATAAGTCATTACATAAAAATGTTTGGAAGTCAACAAACAATAGGGGAATTCATTATGAACCGGTAAGGCAAAGACTAATGGAAACCATATTATACATTTTAATGAAAACCAGCTTGAACAAGAAAAAAGGTTTAATCTAGGGTTAATTTGTCAACTAACC